GAAGAAAGAGTTAAAGGGAGTTTCCTTTCTCATTGTTTTACCTTTAACGTATGAGAGCCAAACGCTACGGGAAACATCCTACTGCCATTTATAATGCAGAAGACAGTCAAGGTGTTCTTACAGAGCAAATTGAAGATATGGTGTTAAGTGTCTTGTTTTGGGAAATTATCCACAACTAATACAGTACAGGAGTGGGAAGCCTTGGGCACATCTACACAAGACATTTATTGCACAGTAGACTATTAGCTGCACAGTAAATGTCTTTCCATCTACGCATGCATCCCTATTAAGTTGGAGTAAACCAATTTATAAATACTATGGTGCTGTGCAGTAAATACAAGTACTATCCTGCAGAAGAGTAAAAATCTCTGCAGCAGCACACATGTAGATGCTGCCCTAACTGGCTGGGGCATGACGGTACTTCAGTGCAGAGGCTGCCTGCTGGCTAGTCCCACACTGAAGCACCTTTGTGCCCCAGCCAGCCCCTCTGCAGCACACTGAGCCAAGGGGAGCAGCCCTAGGCTGGCAGGCTGACCCCCAGGCCCCCTGCCAGCCATAGCTGCTCTGCCCCAGCTCAACATGCTGTAATCCAAGGCACATGTGAAGACATGTGCCCAGGAGCCATATGCTCTGGAGTTCATTGCTGTGCATTAACAGGCACGTGTAGACACACCCGTTGTATACCAGACCTTTTGGGGATTCCCCTACCTACTTTCCCACCATGCAATCATCTCCTTAAAAATGTGGTCACTGAAATGCATGCACTTTTCACTTAATTTAAAGTTCTCCAATAACTTGGGCCATGTTAAACTGAGGCAGAGACATTTCATACAAAATGTTATCCCTACTTTCCTAGCTTCTAGACTGTGTCCTATTTTGAAAATGTTATAGTGAAAGGCATCCAATCTAAACATCTCAATCTTTTTCATAAAAAGGGAAAATTGCTGGACTATCTCAAAATCCCTCCTCAGCAAGAGCAAAGCCATTTTTTCATATCTAAGTCTGCCCTCAGACATTGGTTATTGCTTTTTGAGAAGGTATGATTGACAAACTTGCATTTATCCTTGAATTGGACTTTGCATTCCAATCCATTTATTGTCTTGTTTTGGAGCATTAAGCTACACATTAATCTGTAGAAATGCTTGGCAGTCTAGTGCACATTAAGGGATTAAGTACTTGCAAAGGATACATAATACAGTAAAGGCACCACCACAGCAGGACTTGAAAAATTGTATCATAGTTGCCAAATCTCACACATGTGGATTGGGGGAGGGGGAGAAGGAAGGTGGAAATATTTTATAGAAATATTAATAGTTGTTAGAAAACTCTAGATTCTAGTCCCCACAGCAACAACGCACTCCTTCAATCCGAGTTTGCTACTTGTAAAATGGAAGCAACTGTCTCCCCAAAATCTCAACAACAACAACAAAAAATAAATAAACCTGTAATGGTGCACAATACTGTCATAAATGTATTTGAATTAAAGCATCTGTGAAAGCCTAATGTGAAGAAAATCAAACTCGCTTGCTTTTGTAGGATTAAAGACTGGTTAAACCCAGTGACTAAAAGCAAAAAATCTTCACAGACATGACTCACGATCAACACTCAACTAAGCACATTTAGCAATCAACTCAGAAAAATCAAGTTGTTTGTGGTACATTTATTGTACTGTGAATCAGAGCTTGAATGCTCTCGTTCCCTTCAATTTGATTTGGAGCATAACCGCAAAACTGGTGCTTTGTTCCACAGTCGAGGGATCAAGGCCGTACGTAGGAGTCCATACGTACTATTCTCACTGGATGTGGTAACGGCTGATGGTTTGATATTCTTTCCCCAGCCCAGTGAAGCAGAAAAAAAAGGGATCTGTTTTCAGGTAGATATAAAGAAAAATCATAAAGTGCCCAAAATTTAAGACACAAGCAGTGCACAAGATTTAAAAAAGTGTTCTCTCTAAACACTCATTTAGAATCACAGAAAATTAGGCTTAGAAGGGACCTCAGGAGGTCACCTAGTCCACCCCCTGCTCAAAGCAAGACCATCCCCAACTCAATCACTGCAGCTGGGGCTTTTCCCTACAGCATAACCAGCTCCTAAATTAAGTATTTTGTTTTATTGCCATTCCCATTCAAGCTACTAGCTCTCTACTTCTCCAGCTATATCATAACAAAAATGGACAAGAAATGCATATGAAGAACTAGAATCTGACTAACTGGGACTGGACTACCTCCTTGCTATCTGGATCTTACTATTTTAATGACTGGGTCTAAAAAGTAAAAATCCCTCCACAGAGACCTTGGATGGAGGAAGTAACAAAGAAGGAAGGACAGGGACAGGATTATAGATCCTGCATGGGAAAGTCAAAACAAAACTTTTTTTTTTTCCTGAAGCCAGCAGTTGGGAAGGAACTGCCTCTGTCCCCTCTTCCAGTAATATACACATTCAAGTTTATTAAACTCATACCTGTATATCATTCCAAGGACTGTACCTGCTCAAGCTAATCCAGGGAGGTTGCAAGGGCACACAACTTTTTGTTCCATAGCTGTACAGAAGTTGTAAATCACATCCGAGTCAACTAAAAACAATCATTAAAAGTGAACCTCTAACAAAAGGAGCCTATATGATAGGTAAACAATATTGTAAAGCTGCATAGTTGCAGAGTGACTCTGCATTGATAGTTAAAAAAAAAATCAAAATTAAGCTTTCATGGCACAGACCAGGTTACACACTTGCCAGTACTAATATGCTTCCATGCACATGCACTTGCACATTCAAAGTGCAATTAAGAGAACAGACCTACAATTAAGTAGGTTATTTGGAGTGGAGCATATGAATGCACAAAAGTCTAGGGCACTGAGTATACTTGGAAGCAATGTAAATGGTCCAAATGTGATTTTTTAAATCAACTATTTACCTATATAAAGGAAGCCACTGTTTTAAAAGTCTATTAACTATATCCAAGACCAGCGTTGTTAATGAAATACTAGATAAACACATTATAAAATATTATAGTATTTATGAAAAATATACATCAAAAAATTCCAGTTTATTTCAATGACCAAAATAGTAAACACAAAGCAATGTAAATTCATGGTTTATACTTTAGGAATGTAAACTCTACTGTAGAATGAAACAAACACAGTTTACTAAGTAAAAAAAGTGAAATGTTGCATTACCAAAACAGAAGTGTCACACAACAAACTATGCAAAACATAAGCGTGGCATGATCATTTAAATCCAGGCTTTCAAGTGAAGACTGAACCAACTATGAACCGATGCAGTTATTCCACAGACTTGTGTTACTAAAAATATACATGTAGTTCACTGTTGTAGTCTTCTGGAAATAAAAACTTACACAAATACAAAAGGCAATACATTATACATCTACATACGGCATTTAAAACCTCAAACTTGGACAAGAGAAATATGACAAACCTAAGTTAAAAATTTGTAAAATCTTTATACTACTCAGAAGGAGCCTGCTTGCATCTAGAAAGGTTGCTAAAAAAATCCACTGGTATATTACTGTACTTTTCAGTTGTATGATCTCCAACAATCTAGCATTTCTTAATTCAGAAAAAACACCACAAAACAGATCAAGACAAAATGGTTAGAAAGTACATGTTCTTTGCATAAAAATGTCCTGAAGTTCCAGAAAACAAATACCTGATTTCTATATAAAGAATTAAATAAAATACTTCCTATGTTAAAACATTATTTTTATAAAATACTTTATGTTTTATTAAACCAGCACTGGAAACATTTCCCTTTGTTTTTATGTAATGAGTTTACATTTAACTGTCGGCATTAGACATTTTCTCTTTAGCTTCAGTTATTCAAAAACTAATAAAACTCAAATAAGTTTTCCAAGTAATCCCTTAAAGCTAAGGTAAGCCCCCGTCCTTCCCCTCAGGGGAAAAAACCCACAAATAAAACCCCTCAACAACTGTCTTCAATGCAATATGTATACTAAATTTAAAATGAGCAAATGTTGCTTATGGCTTCATAATTAAATGTGTCAAGAGACTGCTAATCCAAAGGGAGCCACTGTCACTTAAATTCTACTTTGAAGACTAAACGTATTAGAAAACACAAGCAAGTTATTGTATCAGAAGGAGTGGCAATTTATCATGTTTCTGTTGCTTCACGGCCAGGCATACTCTTACCTGACAGTAAATGGAAGCTAACCCCATAGTAGCTTAGCCCCATTTCACTGAGGTACATTTCCATTTACCCCAGAAGAAAACCATGCACAGGACCACTCAGCATGGAACTTCTGACATATATAAAATCCTTGCCCGCTTTGAACTTGCTGTAACTTATTAGTGTGCCTAACACTTCCCTACAAAAGAAGTTTTAATGCATGTTTGAACAACCATACACAATGTTAAAGAACAGTTATTCCTACTTTCCCTGTGCTCCATTAAAAACAAAAAATAAAAAACCAACCCGTGTGAGAGTTCTATTTTTAAACATATATAACAATAAAAGATTCTTGGGTCATTTTCAGTATTATTGAGTGTTAGGTTCTGGAGTTATATAAAACATGATAAATGAATAAGCCTTGTAGGGTGTCTTTACGCACGCTCTGGCTTTAATTAGAGCAGTTCTTGGGACACCCGCAGCGGCTCATGTATTCAGCATCCCACACTTTAAAATGACAGTGGGGGCACTTTAACAAAGCTTGTTTGACAAACTTCAGTTAAATCATCTCTGCCATTTTGAAGCAAGGGGGAGCTGAATATGAGACGCTAATTAGCATTTCATTTCTGTTTTGGAGCAGGCATTGGGCACATGTTTATGAAGACAATGTTTGTGCATGTAGAAACAATAGCCCTTTCATCAATTAAACCTCTCCTTTCATCACACTTACTTGAAAAGCAAAATCTGATGTAAATTCAGTTGTGTAAATAGGGACGTGGGTTTTATCATTTTATTCTAACATTTTTTCTTCCTATCATTAAATAAAACTGCCAAAGATAAAAACAACTGGGTGTGCAAGATAAGGAATAAACTGGTTTTATTTTAAGCAAATACCACCTGATCCATAGTGCTAATAATAGTCAACAGCTTTGTAAACATTAAGTTACCCACTTGTATCCTATGGCATTTTAGACACAATTCAAGAACCAATTCTATTAATTTATAAACTTTCCAATAAAATTACTATGTTTTCCCAGTACAATAATTTTTGGCCTTTCTATAAATACTGAATCTCAAAAAGTTTCACTATGGAGATAATTCAAAATCAGTCTCTAAAAAATAGAAAAGAAGAAACCGTTTAAAATACCATTGTCTTCTCAAAGCTAATTCTTAATACTGTCAGAATAAAACAGAGTTTTCTTGGCATTAGGAAATTAAATACGAAGTTAACTTAAACAGGTATTTCAAGCAAAACGTTAAAAAAAGAAACAAAACACTACCCTATAGCTAGGAAATCAGATGAAGACAGCTAGTTCTACCTATAAGAGCCAGCAAAGGGTCACTAGAACTTCCAACAAGAAGATTTCTTCTCAACAGCCTGGAAGAAATTTCTGATCAAAAAGTAGAATTCCAACTCAGTAGGCATTAACTAGTTAAACCTCTGATTGGCTTCTGGTTACACTTCAGACACTTGTGGTTTGAGTGCTTCCGAGTGCTATGACCAAAGATCAACTAACATTTCATACTACACTACTCCCTCTACATCCTCTCACCTCTTCTTCGTAAAAGCTGCTCAGGAGAAAGACAGTATAATTTGGGCCTGCTTAAATTTGTGCTTTAGTTTTCAAATCAAGAAAGAGTGGTATCACAAGGTAAAAGTCAACTAGGGAAACTCTCCTATGCTTTGGAACTTGCTCTGTGATATCAGCACCCTTTATATTCTTGACTGTAGAAATCTGGCTGAGTGTAAATGATATGAATTATTCCTTCATTTTACCTGGAGGTGGGAGGAGAGAAAGACCACAACATTACACTATAAACACTCCCTAACTACAAGGAGCAATTATTGCCAGCTTTTTCTTCTCCTCACTTGCATATACATTGTAATTATTAAGCGCTGTTAAAGCTATCTTAACATTACCTCTCACTACTACTATAGTTACCTTAAAGCACATTGCTATTTTATACTTTAAACTAGCAAAATAATGGAGACACAGAAGCCTAAAAGTTCTAACCAGCAACAATATAAATTTGCTTTTGTGCTTGCAAGATACTTAATTTGTGCACATCTTTTAACAGTATTCTTACTTTTAAGCATTTTAATTCCTTTAACTGGTTTGCTTGACTAAAAGCAAAGGCTAACAAGATCAATGTAAAAATGCTGACACTGTTATTAATGAACACATTTTCTCCAAAGTTATTTTAAAAAAGGGTCTGATGACAATGATGCCAAGCAGCAGCTTAGTGCCTAATCTTCATGATGCGCAATAAAGCATACTAGGCTGGAGGACATAAAGAAAGCAGAAGGGCAGGTAAGGGAGAACAATTTGCTCCTTTCACAAATGACAAGAAAAAACATACCTTTTTTGCACACAGATGTTAGAAATCAAGGAAAATTCAAGTGTGGCAATAGTAAAAAGTGAGAGACTGTAATTGCCACCCAGAGAAGCAGCTGAAATCTCTAGCTCACTCATCAAAAGTGATGGAATTCTATATAAAGGATTTGTTAAAAAAAACCCAAACAAACCCCCAAATCCCCAAAAAACTCTTGAGCTAAAAATAAAAGCCCTATCCTCAAAGTCCACTTTGAAGCAACAGAACAACAAATTTGGTTTTTTTGGATCAAACATCTGTAAGGAAGTCACTGAAAGTTAAACATGAAATTCACTATGCTACTAAGTCACTTTTATGATGGCAATACTGGAGGTTACAGAACACTCCTGTCCGCCAGAAGTTTGTTCTTCCATTGTATGACTTTTTAGACCACATTTCAAAGATGGGATTTACAAAGAAGCATCATGTGTGAAAAGATCCAATTTGCATTTTTTTGATTTTGATTTCAGTGTGCGCAAGACAGAAATAGAGTTTTTAAAATGTGGCCCACAGTTACAACAGCAGCCATACTCCATGCAACAGTATGTTGAGGCTATAGCCTTTCATCAAAAGTACCCCTCTCGCACTAAAACACTTTCTCTGGCATGGTTTGGCTTGTGGTGGTGTTATGATACAAGAGTGTTACAATGTGGTTCCAAACTTTCATTCCAAGATGGCCACCTTTCCAAAAGAAACTGAGTAGCAAAGAAGAAATTGCTGATACTTGTTAACAACTGCAACTATAGGGGGTGTAAACTTAAAAAAAAACTCAAACCACTTAAAGAGCTATTTCTACACTATTAACATTTAAAATTTAATAGAAAATAGCTAAGATTGCAATCTAGACTTTGTTACTGTCAAATTCAAGCTGAACTTTACAAGATAAAGAATGTAGGTGTTTAGCATTTAAGAGGGGAGCACACAAGGTAGAGAGGACCAACATTAGAGATTTTGTTAAATTCCTTTTTCATACTGACCAGTCTGTCAGACATCAATCAGTTGACAGTGTTATACTGATACTGGGAGGTCGCTGCTGATTTGATTGTTTGGGGACATCTGTTTTTTCTATTCCATAAATCAATTTATCTTCCTGCAGACTACATGCAGAAAACCTGTTTACTTCTGTACCAGACACACTACTACCACTACCACGGTTACTTGGAACTGCAACACCACTGACCTGCTCAAAAGATTTACTAAAAACTGTGGTAGTAGTTCTGGCCAAACTATGACTGCCAGGCTTAGGCAGCGATTGGCTAGTAGTTAATGTCAGTCTCTTTAAGGACAGAAGCTCTAGATTTTCGCTCATGGCTCGCTGAGTTTGTTTGCGAGAAAACTGTTCTCTGCACACTTCTCCAGCACCTTCTTTTTCTTTTCCCCCAACTTTGCTTCCTCCAGATCTTCGCTGGTTCTTCCCTAACAGGATCTTGCTGCTGGTGTTGTTGCTGTTTGATAAGGCAGACTGGCTTGAGCTAGAAGTAGCCCTAGAGTAAAACCCTTCATCATTTTCAGATACTTCTATCAGTTCTTCTTGAATTGCTAGATCAGTATTATCTGCAGAATGGAACAAGGAAAAAAGTTAATTAAACACTTGACATTTTCTAACTATGGCTTGATTATTTAAAAGATATATACTGTTAGATTTTTTTTATTTTCAAGCATGAAGCCATGAAGCAATAGAGTATCGAGCAAAATAGAAAGTAGGACACTTACCCATTACAGTGCAGAAAATGAATCATTACGATTTAAAATCAGAGCAAGTAAAGCTACATTTACTAAGCCAAGATGCATGCCCATATAATCTCAGGTTGTACTAATTTCGGGGGGAAAAAACACTCCTGTTATTCATGCAAATGATTAGGAACAGATTAGAAAGACACCACAAAGCAAACTAATAAAAAAAGTCTAAATCCTATTATGTGCAAGTGCTTCCACTCAATATTTAGCAAAGCAAGTTAATTAGGAAGGTAGATGATCAATGCCCCAGAACGCCCAATAAAGATCCTGCATAATTATCAAACCAAAGTGTGAATAGGTTTTAGGACTGAAAGGTCACTGTCTGCATTATAAGTCTGGTGGTATAACTAGGTTAGAAACTGTACACACTGTAGTATGGAAGTCCCAAGATCATAACAAGTATTTAGAGTGCTCTACATTTTTTGCATTTGTTTGAAATAGCCCACCTCATTTACCCGACTGGTGGATCCTGCAAATCCAATAAAATGTGCTTAGTAAGCTTGAAGAATAGGAAATAAACACTTTGCCAATGCTGGGTCTCAGTGCAGTTTCCCCATGTTACGTACATCTGCTTGCAACAAGCATGTCATCACTGTATGTGGCAGAGATTTTAAGAAGTTCTGTGTAATACATGCATCTGTGGTTATTAGAACATGCACATACTGTAACTGCATACCTTAATTCCCAAAACATGCAGCAGTGACCCTTTCAATCAAAGGTACCTGAGAGTGCAGTTACAAAGTGCTCAGCTAAAACTGCACTCTGCCAGATGAGTTTATTCCATCCTCCATCATTTTTCTTACAGATTTTTGCCTCCTGATTTCTGGTAAGGCTTTGCTGTCAGTTCTAGGATCTGTAGCTGTTTCCTGCACACCCTGTATATGCTGAACATCATTCTCTGCTAGTGCTCTGCTTTTTTCCCCATTCCCGGTTCTCTCTCCAGCCACATTTGTGACACTAATCTCAGGTATAACAAAGTTGCCCAATTCAGTAGCGTCATTACCATTCTCTGGTTGTTCTAGAATGGGAGATGGATAAGAAGGAAAAAAAAAAAAGAGTCTGAAACAAACACATGAAAAACATAAAATACAGAACTGGATGGCTGAAGTGTTATGAATTAAGCCAAATGTTTGCACATTAACCTCTTGTTAATTAGCAGTATTAGTGAGTATGAGATACTTGTCCTTTTAAAAAAAATTAAGTTTTCCCCATGTTGCATGCCCTCATACATCCTAAAGTCTCTCCTCCCCATTCTCTTATTAAAATCCTGAAACATCATTATTGAATAGACAGAAGTCAAATATTTCAGACCTCAAAACTGAGTTCAAATGCCCTTTTTCCTACTATTCATTATTATGACAATGTCTTTGTGCAAGAGATACAATAAAGGAAAACTTAGTTTCTAAAGCTATTTTAAAAATAATTCTAAAGCATTACAATGTAGGATCACAGATTCTGTTTTCAGTAAAAGTATGCATTGATAAGTGCCACAACTTTAATGTTGTGACCTGCAATACTTCCATCTAAAAGCATCTAGTTCTCTCTCCAGTCTTTCAAATGTAAAGCATTCTATTACGAAATCTTTCAAGCATATCAAATGTACATATCTTTCCATACACTTAATATAAAAACTGTTTCAGCGCTTGCCACCTATTAACACTGCATGTACAATGTGTGTTGACTCTCTCAGCTCCTTTCCTCCTTTCATGAGCTTAGAGAAATTCAAGCTTGATTTGTAATGTCCTCATTACTTCCACATCAGACTCATGTCAAACACCTAATCATTATCTCACTGCAAAACTGAACAGGGGAAATAAAGCTGTACATAGAAACAGTTCACTGAAATACTGGTGAAGAATGGAGACTGATTAAGGCAAAAGTGATCAGCTTAGTTTCAGGAAGGATTAACTGCCTGTTTGTAGGGTAGAAGAGACCGCAGAAAGACAAAAACCTGTAAAAACCACAGCAAAAACATATGGGTCTTCATGCTTTAAATTAAAGCAGAAAATAGCAATTGCTCTGTTCAAGATATCATATTTGTGGAAAAGAGGAACCAGATTGCAAGGAGCATTATTTCTGAGTAACAAGAGACAGGAAGGTTTTTAAAACCAAGAGTGGTTTGTGCATAGAAAACTTGGTAGATAAATTCCTCCTTTAAAAGTTTATTGTTAAGTTAGATTCTGATAAACAGTGGCCCACTCAAAACAGACGAAAGCAGTAGAGAGAAGAGAAAGTGAAAGCAAATGAAGAAAGAAGAAATTCTTAAGAGCCATCAGCTTTCCAAAACAGTAAATTTTTAAGTCTTTTTGATTCAGAATTCAAAACATTTTCAGAACTGGACCTACAGGCCATGAATTGCCTTTCTGGGAGAAGAGAAGCCACCAGGTATAAACTGACACTTGAATAGCCACATCTATACCATAAAAAATAACCATAAGAAAAATAAACTCTATACACAAATGCACAGTAGAATAATACTTTTGAGAATTATGAAGAAACTCTGATGTTCATCCTATTTATCTTGATATAAAAATTAATGCTTTATTAAGTAAGTGGATTTTTCAAAATGTTCAGGATTAAGTGCAGGACCTCAAGATTAATAGAGTTCTGTAAGTGTGGATGACAAATGCTGCAAAATTTGAACTGCCATTAAACATGATGATTAAGTTTAGGTCATATCTGGCAAATGTTCATCTGTTAAAAGACAGGATCTTTGTGACCCAGAATCATCCTATTTGTTGGAAGAGATGTCTTAGGGCAGTTAAGTATTACAATAATTTACTGTAATGGTAAAGGATTTCCAGAAACACTGTACAGTAAGAGATCCCTTGCGTTTTCCATGAAAAAAAAAAGAAAAAAAAAATCAGGGCCTTTCAAAGTCCATGGAGCTGTCTGTATCAGAGGCCAAACCTACAACTTCCCCTGCACTGTTCTGCATGATTTGCAATGGCTGGCTGCCACTTCACATGTCAAGTGTCTTCATTTTGTAACTACAGCAGTGAGAGGAGAATTTGAGTATGAAAAACATCACTACTAAAAAGAAGCACTCAAAGACAGAGTTCCAGCAAGCAATGAAGAGGTTTGCAAAGAGAGAGCCAAGTCCGATTTCAACAGCTGAAGAAGGGTTTGAAATGGAAAAATATTCTTCTTAAATGCAAAAACACAAAGTTTACATACAAAGGGTGCTTACTATGATTATTGCAGGTAATAGAACCTTTCTGTAAAGCTGATACTATAGCCAGTAATAACTGGATGGCAACACCCGCCCACTGTAACCTTAACCAGTAAAGAGACAAACTGCATTTCAGCATAAGGAGCACATGGCTATATACTGTACTTACGTAAAGTCAGCACACAGGTCCATTGTTGCAGTGTAAATACCTGCTTAAGCCCCCCAAATTCCCCTCCAGAATCTCCTCAGTGGGCGTGCCTACTTGAGACACTTAAGGGTGCACATGCTTATTTAACAGTAACTCTCCCTAATCCTGAGTAAATTTGCTACCTCTAAATGCAAGTGGCAAATTTACTAGGCATTAGTAACAGCACCATAGTGCTCATGTAGACACCTGACTGAAAGCCAAATCTCCTCCTGGTCAGCTGTCCACAAGGGGGTGTGAGATAGTCCCTGCCCAGGCTCCTGTAGCTCAGCCTGCCCCAGCAGGAGGCAGCTCCTGGGGGCAAGAAGCTATGTCCCAGGCTGCACAGGGAAGCACGTCAATCTGGAGGTGGCTGGGGACTGTCCCGTTTCAGGCAGTCCCCAGCCACCTCCGGCTGCACATGCAGACTTCCCCAGACAGCTTGGAGTTGACAGGGAACTGACACAGTAAGGGGCTGACCTCAGCCCTGTACCCTGATCAGATGATCAAGGCGTGGGGCTTAGAAAAAGCTGCAAGTGCAGGGCAGGTCCCAGCCTCCTGCCCTGATCTTCTGGTGGAGCAGCTGCGGATCAGGGCAGGGGGTTGGGATCTCCCCCTCCCCTGCAGCTCTTTACAAGCCCCATGCCCCTGATTGGGAAGCCAGGGCCAGGAGCTCCCTGCTGCCAGGGCAGGGGAACATTTTCCCTGCCCCAGCTGCAGGCAGCCCCCTGGGGCCCGAAGACAGCTGTCTCCTGGCCCGTGCTCCCATCCAGCCTCTGGGCTAGCACCCAGGGGGAGCCTAGAGCTTCCCCTGGTGGCCACAGAGGCATATTGCAGGGCTTCAGGGAACTGGGAGTAAATCTGCTCCGTAATTTCCACATGTATAGACACCTACCCAAAAACCCTTACTGTGCAGCATTTTACTGCACAGTAAATCTAGGCTGGAGTAAATGCATGTGCAGATGCACCCTCTATAGCTAAAACAAGCAACTGGTGTATTTTAACTGTCTCCAATACACAAAGTAATTAGGCATGGGCATACAGCCCATTTTAAGTGCGTAGTCATTACTGTGACAATGTACCAAAACCCTCAGTCCCAAGAAGCTGAACTAAGCACAACATATATTTAAATTTCTATTTAAGAATTTGCCTTTTAAATGCAAGTATATGCATTTTTCAGACTCTGGGTAAAATGTAAGAGCCTGCTCCCCGAAAGATAAATATAATAAAAATTTAGAGCTGTTAATTAATTGTTGTTAATGGGCACAATTCACACGTTTATTTTTGCGTTAATTTTTTTAACTCATGTTAAATTGCTGCTGGTGCTGGATGGAAAGCAGCCCCTTCCCCTTGCTGCTGTTGAGCTACACATACACACGTGGTCAGCAAGCAGCCAGGCAGGATCCTGGCAGCAGATTTAGCAGCTGGATGCAGGTAAGCGTATGGAAAGGGCAGGTCTTG